ATAAAATGGACGATATTTTCGATATGGCAATGCTACATTCTCTGCTTTAGGGCAATCTGTACAATGACTAATAAGTGTATTATGCTGCAATACCTGGGTTCCGCGAAACATCAAACAGAGTCTACTTGTTGCTTTTTGACGATATCAAGTTTGAAAAAATAATTATTCCGGGTTTAGATTCATTGATCATTTTTCCTCACCGAAATGTTTTTTTTCTGCTGACGTTTTGGATAGCTGCGCCGGCTGTCATTTGTCAAAGCGAGAGCTGAATTTATCGATAAGCAATTCAAAGTTGTGGCGACAGAGCACAACATTAATTGTCGTCAAGTTACGCCATAGTTCACGCGCAGGGCCAAGCAGCGAACGTATAAAAATTGATCAGTTTATGGCCAACACACAAAGCCACAACTTTAAATTGCTAATCGATAAAGTCAGTTCTCGCTTTGACGAAATAGAGCTGACCTAGCTGTCCGAAACGTCAGCAGCGAAAGAAACACATTTCGGGAAGCAAAAATGATCTATGATCTATGTCTGTCTGCATGACTGTTGTAAAAAACGAACGATAAAAATGTTTCCTCTGCAGGATGCTTCCAATCATCTCAACCATCAAGCAAATATTTGTTCAAGTATTGATAACTTCGGTTTAACGAAAAAGCAACGTAGGAAGAGGAAGTCCCCTCCATTAGTGGCCTTTCAGAGTACAGAAAATTAATCATTTTTTGCGAAAACAGTAAGGAGAAGGTTTAATGACAAAAAGCAGTGTTGGTTAATGTCCGGAAGAAGATCACGACCCGCGATTTGCATGCACCATGTAATTTTACTTATTGTGAAGAGGCCAAACCTATTCCTTAAAACGATACTCCTGTTTAAAAAGACTTCGGTTTGGGAAACTGCAAGTGATATGGCGAATCCATTTTAATGCTCAGAATCGTTTGAATGGCGGTTAGGCACAACATCGATCAGCAACATCAAAAATTTCGCTTGCACACAACGCACACCAGTCTGGTTAAGAAAGAGGTATGCGCAATTGTACTCGGTAGCTCTATAATGTCCTGTGAGGGTTCTATAGTGAGATTCAGGGCCCAGCGAGACATATATTATGCTTAACCGGTATAGTGAGCCACATACTATCCCCGTATTCCTCATCGCAACCGACAAGAGTAATGGGGCTCTGACGGATTGGGAGAGTATTACATTCAGTGGGCAAAGGTGGTGGGTTCAAATCTCGGGTGATCTATAGCTGGGATTAGGCGGGGCTGGCCGATGATGGCTAATTAGCCAGAAATGGCCATTTTATTTTCAACTCTATCACCAGATGAGATATAATCTCTGAATTGAAGGGAGAGATGCGTATTTGGTCAGAGCTAATCGATAGCAGAGCAAATTTAATCCGCTACTGGGTGTTCAAGTTCCGCTCCTAGTAACCGACGAATGGACTTCCGGCAGTTTATCGCGCCTACCGCCAACAGTGCCACTAAGTGGAAAAAAGGATAGCCACTTAAGTATGAATGAGCTCAAAAATGTTGTCTGCCCCAGAACTTCCGGTTAGTATTTCGATATCACAAGTACATTAATTCCTTACTCTTTAAAAAGGTCAAAACAAAAGCACACAACGATCCAAGCACTCACTTTTATCACTGCAAACTCATCCGTTTCTAACATCGGACGAATCAAAACAGAAGCCAAATTCCAATATGCACAGTTCAACTAACTCTCTATAGAGCACTTTCAATTCTGGAATTTGGTAGAAACTATTTATAGAATACCCAATTGTTCAAAGTTTTGCATTTTTAGTAGAGTCCTTCTTTAAGCCCTTTTAAAATTGAGGCGTTACGTTATTTTTAACAGACGCGCCACGTAATGAATTCTATGATTTGATTCTATAAGGCCGACGATGAAAACCTACCAGGGAAACCATACTTCATGTTCAATCGACCTAGCAACAATGCATGCTCGTGAAAGTCAATGGAAAAACTTTTGGAAACACGAATTTTTTTCCGTGTTTTACCGGCAAAACAGCTGAGTACGTTCATAAACTTCAACCTATGAATGTGTTCACTCACCTTTTTTTACACCCCTTCTGACCATTAGAAGAGTATACATCATATGCCACGTTTTCTCGTAGACTACCACTGACCGATAACATTCGCTTTGTGCATCTGATGGAAGGCATTTTGCCGCTGCTCTTATTATCACTTTTATGACTGCGTTTTACATGTTTGTGGCGAAGGTTTTAAGAGATGTGACTTATTTCAGTCGGATGCGGTTTGAAGCGAGCATAAAGTTCGCAGCTTTTTACATCTTAAAAGCTAAAGAATATAGTAGCTGCACTGCCACGCAACATGCATTAATCAGTGAAGAGCCAATAGACCTCAGCATTATAACTGATAAGCGTGGGAACAGGCACGACCAACGTACACGGGTCGGCGAAAAGTGTGCACTGTGTTACTTCCGCCAAATTTATGTTTCATGGCTTCATGTTTCACTGCGAGTGTTTCCATTCAGATGCTTGGCCAGCGGTTAATATTTTCCATCTCTTTTATTAGACATTCTAAGCTCTTGTTGAAAGCAGCCTGCCGTTTGAAACATAAACTATATTCAAAGTCTCCAACAGAAAGAGAAAAAGGTTCCTTAATTGAAGCACGTTCTATGAGAATTTGGTATGACTGCATACATTTGAAGCAAAGTAAGCAAGTACACCACACCGTCTGGTGGCGGTTGTAAGGACCCAAAATGGCGTTTTGGACTTTTCAGGTGCCGGATAGAGAATCGGGCGGTATTTCCACATTTTTCTACATTGATGAATATCAGTCACCGGTGTGAATTTTTCAGCACTTTATGAAAAGCGCAAATTTTGATACTGGAGGTTCCTATTAATTAATATTTGAGGACCTTTGCCAACAACTAATTAATATTACCTCTTTGCGGTGGCAGAAAAGAAATCCATTAGAAGCCTCCGACGTTTTTATTCCCCGGATAGTAGACTTTTTGTCGTTGCATAAGGTCACCATCAAGCATGGAAAATTAGCCGAGCAAGTCTTCAATGACATATTTGCAAGCACCTACGAGCTATCTCTATAGATCTCTGCATAGGTGAACGCAAGGATGCTTGCATGGCTCTGTCGATAGGCGATGTGCTTGTCGATGTAGTTTGCACAGTAGCTGATACGGCTTCGTGTGAGAGAATACACACATGCATCTCTCTGTTGTGTCCACACTCTTCTAACAAAAAACTTCGTGGCAACCCCTGTCTGATCCTTTTTTGCTGGCCTTCTTCGTGGATGCGGGGGCCGCAAGTCCTGCGATAGCCAATGCTTTATTTTTAATGACTCTTCTTTAATGTTGGCATGGTCTTATGGTTTTTGAGATAGCTTCTTGAGACCCGTTAGACTGCAAAGAGTTTCACACAAATACATAGTCAGATTACCTCTGAATATTGCGATTTCTTAAACACCCTGGCAGCTTAAATGCCTATGCAGATGATAAAAGCCTTGGGACTGTCAAAATGTTGGTATTTATTAACTGTTTACAACAAAGGACGTGTGATCGTTAATCACGGTTTCTAAGCGCCACGCCGTGCTCATATATTACGTTTTACTGATATACGGCTGCCCTGCCGGTTTTCTTTGAAGAAATAAAGCGTACATGCAATTTAGCAGACTGCGACCGTGCAAGTAATTTTTTTATTATATATCCGTGATGAAATATGTGCTAGCTCGGTGGACGATGATTGATGCATACAGGAATTAAAAACGTGGTAAAATCTTCAGTCTTACTGGTTATTAACTCGCTGCCCTTTCCAATGATCAAATTTGTGTAATAGGATTTTCATATTTTTACCTTGCAAAAGAGAATAGCGCAGCGACAAGGTTCAGTTTAGAAGACAAGTGAAGGAACTTTATCGATTATTCACTAAGGAAAATCCATTCTTGCCCAACTTTTGTCGCGTCAGCACCTTCGCACAAATGATGTGGGGTGATAATTTAATACATGTGGCATAAATTTATGGATAAAACTGGTTATCGCATTAGCTCAAGAACATTTTGCTCGGAAAATTATGCACATAAACTTGCTGTTGGAAATGCAGTTCACATGAAGGCATTAGACTTACGAATTTCTGTGTCTCAAAATCCAGTTTCCAATCAGTGCTGAGCCATCCGCTGTTGGCATCCAATTTCACCAAACGCATTGTGTTAGGTTCAGTCAAGGGACTGATCTTGTATTCGATGACTGCATTCTGTCCAATATCTGCGTCAGTGGCATGAACCTGCGGTAATCGAACAGGCAAAGCAAGAAATATAAATGTTTTACTCCCATTCTATCAATAGATATCTGTGTGCAAATTGGCATTGTGAATTTTCATATAAGATGCAAACACATTTTGTTTCGGCAGTTGTTTGGAATTTAACAACGATGGTTACATAGGTCAAAAGAATGTCCTACCACCAATAGCTCGAGTTTGATTTCTTTTTGTAGTGAAACATAGACACATATTTTCAACAACTGCCAAGTAAGCTTCCAGAAAATTGCCACTTCTGAGATATTTGGGTAAAAGTTTTTTATAAATGTACATGCAGCTTTCAAAGAAAATGTTTAGCGTTACAATGACTTAATGAAGGTTAGCATGTATTCCATAGACTTTAATATGGCATTGAAATAAGGGTGCTCATACAAAAGGACTTTTCAAGCTCCAAAAATAAGGGCACGTAGTTATTTTAATAGTTCTAATGTGATGTGATAATCATACATGAGTGAGCTTCAATGAGCCTCCGAAATGACACATTCAGAAACCTCTTTCTCCTAAAACGCTCACGGTACAGTTTTAAATACAAAAAGTTTACAGCGCTTTTTGGTAGGATATTGAACGAACTTTTATTAAACCGACTGGTGTTTAACATCCTTTTTCTGCGCGAACGACAGTCAGGAAAAAATATAAAGATTGCATAGCGATCAGATCATGACCCAACAAAGAAACCCGGTACAGGTGATATTGTCCGAGACTGAGGCCTTCCCCTCTAATGCGTATTCATACGGTAGAGATATACCGTGAAAGAGTAACACCATATATATAACGAAGCCGGAACTACTGGAGGTCTGGGTATCTAGCCACAACTCTATCAACAGACATGTTGATACATCCCACTGCTACCACGCCATTCGTTCGCGCGGTCAAGATGCATGGCTCATTTCACAGTCAAGAACGCACGTCAGGACAACGCCGTGAGACGAGGGTTTACTTGGACTTAACCTAAGCACAAATGCAATCATACCTCCGCCCTCTTACTTGCAGCTGAATTACAAAAGCCCGTCAACTATTGCTGCACACTGATTTTCTATGAAAAAGGCCTCTTTTACGAAGTTAAAAGCTCAGAAAAATACATAAGGGCTGTCCCAGTTATCGTACCTTCATCCTCTTTGTATATCTCAATCCATTATACAATCCATTTATACAATCCCTTCTGCTATTGCTATCAAACTATGTCTCTGATGACGTTTCCGTGACGGACATCGAAACGTCAGACGAATAAAAGTATTGCCCCAGCAATCGAGTCGTCTTCATATCAATCCTCTTAACTTTCAGAAGCCCGTTTGAATATCTGCCATACAGCTAGTGTGTATTTGCAAGTAGTAAATGAATTTTGTGTGGGAGGCAACGGTATGATGCCAGTGGCGACTTCAACTTTTTGCAGTATACGTTTTCCAATCAACTTTGCTCTATTTGTTTGACGATTGCATAACATTACTTTATCTTTGTGGCCACGAATGACTGCCCTGTCTAGGGTCTGGTAGGTTTTGTTAATTGAGACCTTTTTTGGTTTACATTACGCTTTTGACCAACAAAATGGCTGCAATTATTTTGCCTGTCTGCCAACCCCATTTATAGGCTCAGTTAAATTTACTCCCATCCATTGCAGATGTCTGAGGTTTTATCAATAAACGCTACACATGCGTAGAATTTCTTATTTCTGTCGACAGCGGCGGCATTACCGTAGCGAACTGTCATTATCTTAATGGCAACGAGGGAACGCTACTGATGAGCACGCGGATGAGAAATGAGCATCCAGCACAGCTGCTTACTGTTGAGCGGCGGTCCCAGTCAGACCTTCAAAGCTACTGGTAGAGTTACTGTGCCAGGCCTGAGTGGCCGCAAATGCGCGTGTCGCAAGAAGGAAAGCCGTTTTATCCCACGTAGATCATGGCGCCTGATCTCGTTTTTAGTCGGTTTGGCCCAGTCTACCGAGACATTGGAAATGGATGAGCTTAGAGATAGTTAGGTGGGTGCGATGCAATCTTTCCGCCCCGCAGGGAATTAGCAGGGCTTTTAGGCATTCACTGCAAAATAAAAGTTTTCAGGTTTTTTTCGCATAGGTCGAGAGAATGTATAACTTTATGCATAAACCTTTCTTACCAGAAGGTCCATGATGGTTAAGTCAATGCTTCCTGCCGAAGCAGTGACCGTTTTTCAGGATAATACGCAAACTGCCAACGATTTCGAAGCAAATTCTCTAATCAACACAATAGACGTTCCAGGTGATCTGCTACAGCGCTTGTTAACGAATGACTTGTGAATTAAATACCCAATATGCTCAGATACTATCCGCTTCGAAGCCTGTTCGGTGACTAGCGGCAAAGTCAAGCCAGCGGTTTGAAAGTCATCAATGTCCGTCAAAAGGAGCCACATTTCGTTAAGGAACACTCGCTGATAGTTAATGGAAGTCATTTTCTAACTCGGGGCTGACTCTTGAGTCCCACCTGCGGCTGCACAGCAGTGTAGGCAGACAAACATTGCCGTTAGAGGCAAGGGAGACCGAAACCAACCCCAAGTCTTCTGATCTTCAAGTCTCCCTTGTCTTTGCAGACAATGTTCACTAGCACTTATATTTGGACTGAACTTTGCGGCTGCAATTCGTTTGAGTCGCTGTGCGGAACGGTGGGCAATATCTTAATTTTCGATTACTGCTCTCAAATACCCGGCCATATACAATAATAGTTCAGCAATTTCTTCCATGTGCTTCACATCAGGCTGTGAGCAAGCGCAGTGACTTGCACGTGAATTAAATGAAAGTGAGAGTAGACTTGCGCTGCATCTACCACGCTCGCTCTCTCGACACAAGCTTGTGACTGCCGTCGTGCCGGACTCAAGAGTAGCAACGGAGGGGTCGAAAGTAGTTGGCTTGTATAGCGAACGTTAAGTTTGTCTACTACGTGTTCTTAAATATTCCAACACTCTAAAAGTTGATAAGAGATTTCCTTGTACAACCGTTACGTGCACAATATTCCCTGCTGCGTGGGTCATCGCGACCACATTTAAGATTCTTAGATCAGTAGTTTTAATCGCTTGAATTACGTATAATTTCTAATCGATCGGCTATATTACAAACACAAATACACTGATGGAGGCAAAAGTAGGCGTCTGGCTGAGTCTTATAATACTTACTAACGCAAACCAACGTTAAATAGGGTGTATGTACATAATATACTTATATGTGATTTATGTTCCGGAGACCATTGCATACCTCGAGTAAACATCGAAAAAATATGGAGTAACTTAAGTTGCTTAAAAGAATAGCTTACAACGCTGCACTTAGAAATGTTGCCAATATGAACTAATTTCATTAAATAGCACTTTAACAAATTAAGTGGATCCGGCTAATGATCCCATAAATGCCTTCGTTTACAAACTAATGTCTGCACTTTTCACCCACTGAAGATAAAAAGATCCTCCCGTAGGAGGTAAGGATCAAGTAAATGTATCCTACCAAGGAAGGGAAACGTTGCCCATTTATGAATTATGCATAATAGTTTTCTTTACCCGTGTTAGTAAGTAACTGAGACTAAAAGTTGTATACGCATTTCTTTGCAAGAAGCTTTAAAACTCCTATGCAGCCAATCAGTCCTGTCCCTTTCTAGCTTGCGATAATTGACAAATAATCTCGCAAACGTGCAAAGCAGGAACTTGGGTTGTCGCGCTCTAGGGTAACCTCGTTTGCGATAGGTAAGAAAAAGTCTAACGCACGATGTTGAAAAATGGATATAGCTTACTTGGAAAATCCTTGTGCAGGGAATTGTGCCTTCAGCAACAGTTACTTCATAGTCGGACTGTGAGAATACTGGACTGTTGTCATTTTCATCGAGGACCTTCACAGTAACACCGATGGAGCCATTTAGTGACTTCACGCCCAAATCGGTTGCAACCAGCGTAAATGAATAGAAATCCTTCAGCTCGCGATCCAATTTCTTAGTCAGCATTAGGGAAAGCTCTTCCGATGATTGGGTTTTATCCATACCGGAAGACTGACCTTTCAAGTCACCGGCACCACCATCCACCTCAAACTCCTCCATGGGGGGCCATATGATGTATGTGATTAGGCCAGCCAGACCACTGTCCAAATCAAGGGCTGGTGGTAAAGAGAACCGCTCGCCGACCTCAGTGCCTTCGGAGATTTCAATGGACAGAGTCTGCAATAAAAGAAAACCATTGAAAGCCCAGAAAAAACGTCAAAAGCTTCATGATAAGAGGGTTCTGATAAGAATGCAAATTGTCAGGTGAAGAACGAATATCGTTCCTATTTGAGTGGCAGATAATGTAGAACCGACAAAGACAAGAGAGACCGGAATGACCATTTCTGATTTGACCGCCGTCATAATTACAACTACGAATCTCAACTATTGGAGCAAATTGTACAGTTGGGCCTCGGGTGACGAGCAGCTCCATCTGCGAGCATTTAAGAGTGAGCCACTCGCAGAAACTGTTTCGATTGACGAGGTTTCACTCAGTTAACGGGTTGTCAATGTGTGTATTTGACTGTGTCCGCCGTTAAGTATTTCTCCCAGGGCGTGACCCCCCAATCGCCTGCAGCCAATCAGTGAGTTTATGCAGGTTGCTTTGCTACGTTGCGCTAGCCGATCGTTTTCATGTTGAGCTCGGTGCTGGAAAGGATTAAATGCATTAAGCAAATTTCTACTGCACCTACGTTTATAAGCAAAAGGAGGCAAAGGTAGTTTATGTAATCACCCTCAGCTGGGTTTAGACCGTCGTGAGACTGGTTAGTTTTACCATACTGATTGTTGAACTGTGTAAACAGTGAAATACAATCTGGTCGTTACAATGGTAATCCTGTTGAGTACGAGAGGAACCGCATGTTCAGACATTTGGTACATGTGCCTGGTCAAGCGTCCAATGGTGCGAAGCTACCATCTGAGGGATTT